ACTCATAGGCTGACTTGAATATGGATGAGTTTTATTAAGGAGCTGAGTGATTTGCAACAAATAAACAGCATCATAAATGTTAGTGCTTATTTCTGGGACAGATGTAATCAACAGGAAGAGATAAAGCCAATGTGTGCATTAGGAAGGAGGTAGTGTGAGGTATTGTTTGGTAGTGGCTATTTTTAATTTACTTGATGATATGACATCATACTCTAAAATCAGGACATCAGTGCAGATATCTAAAAGAAAATTTTCATGACCCCAACCTTTACTGTTTTGAACGTAAACTGCACGTTAAAATGCATTATCTTACTATCTGTCACAAAGAGAACTCATGATAATTCTTCCCATATGGTGCTGGGCATTTAATTCTCTTTAACAGAGCCACCTGAGTATGTATAAAGTCAGTGATGGAAATGGAAGCTATTTACTTTGATGGCATTACTCCTGAATCATTTATCACTGCCAGTACTCCCCAAAACTGCTGGGACCAGATCCTGTTGACAAGTTACTACGTTCTGAACCTGCTGCCTTATTTCTAGCATCCAATAAAAATGAACTCAGTGTCTGTAACTTTAATATTAGTTTTCTTCTCTGTTGGTAAATGGTTATCTTTAATGTTTACTATGTAGAATGATGATTGTAATAAGCCGGAGGCCCTTATCTTCTGCTCCGACCTTCTTATCATCCATATATCTTTGCTGCCCTTCAGCCCTGTTCCCCTACCTGGGGACCTAAAAATGCTCCAAGTGTACCTTTACTTTCTAAGTTGTTAACTTCCTTCCAACCTCTCCCTCACCTCAGACTGTTCTACCACCCCCTCCAGAAATCTAACCAGAGTCTAGGTCTGTCTTGATCACCTTTGTCTACAAGAGGGCTACCACAGCACAGAACTGAAGGGAATAAGAAGGCCAGCAGTCATAGTTCAATAGTTTAACATTGGAACGAGTGACTTAGACAGTGCTACCTCAGATTATAATGCCACTTCCAACCAAATGTGTTAGGAAATCTTAGTTTTGTCAAGCTGTTTTCTCTCTGCTCTCCTGTCTTCTCCTCTCTTCTATTTTTAATCTATAAAAGTTAGAGAAATTTTCCATAGGGGAAAAAAAGTATCTTTTGAGATCTCCTCTCCCTGTAGCATCAGGTTGTTTTCCCAGACTTAATATTCATAATTCTCTTAGCTCTGAATTGTCCCTGCCGATAATTAAAGTGCAGGCAATTGATAAGTTTCAAAAGTTGATCAGTTGCAGAAAATTTGCAAAAGGATTCTATCTCTGATAGCGAGAAACTTACAGAGTAATTATTATTGCCTATAATTTGGTAATATAAAATGTCTATTCAAGTCATTAATTCTGACACAATATTCTCAAATTGAGGAAATGTCTTCTTTTTGTTAAAGGTTAAAAAATGCTACCTAGTGGCATTCCAGGGTGTGTGAACTATATATTAGATATAAGCTATAATTTATTCCTTTATGGTCTGAAAAAAATTTTTTAAATAGGATTCTTCTGCATCTGTTGCACATTTTAATTACATACTAATCGAACCCAGTGGTTATTGAGTGTCACAGAAATATTTACTGTGTTCACCTGCTTGTGGGATTGCTGTGGGCAGTGAGCTGAGGATAAACCCTTAAGTCTGAGAGACAGAGAAGTAATTACGTGTTTGCCTCAAAAGTATATGGAATAAAAATGTGTGGACTTATTATACTGTCTCCAAGTAATTTTGTTTTCTGATTGATGGGTATATGATGAAAGAATTAAAATACAAGGTGGAACAGAAGAAAAGTATGTAGAAAATGCCATTTCTGCAGGCACACTACATTGTGTTGTAAGGAAAGGTGGGTCTGACCGGTAGTAACAGTCTTAAAAAACAAAATAATTAAACAAGTGGGACTCAGGCAGTGGCCTTCTTACACAGACTTGAGACTCTTTGGTTATATGGGATGATATAAGTAATGAGGATCACGATAATGCCAGCAGCCCCTTATTAAATGCTTATTCCAGGCCCTATTAACTCATATCATGTCAAAAATAACTCTGTTTGTAAGTTAGTATTCACCATTGTTTTTTTTTTTATCATCTCAATTTAACCAATGCAGAAATTGAGATCTATAGAGTTAATCCAGGCTCTTGGAGCTAGTATTTGAAATAGTCATTCTGACTTGCAACTCCCTGTTTTTCAACAGTGATACACTGCTTCTATAGCAAGAAATTGAGAGGAAGTAAAAAACAAACAAACAAACAAGAAAACCCTATTAACTCTATGGGCAAATCAGTTGCCTTATTTTTCTAATTAAAAATGGTATTCTTGATCTTGATCAGCCACTTCATCTTGAATGATTTACAGATGTTTGAAAAACATTTACCACCATTATGCCTAATCTGAAAGATGTCCCATAACCAGTAAAGGATATTCCAAAGGAACAGCCCCCAAGGTGTTCTGAGCGTTTATAGACACCAGGGCATCCCAAAGGTGATAGTCTTGAGGATGAATATTTTGGATTTTTGGTTTACATCTAGTATATTGGTTTAAAAAATCAATCATATTGTGGGAGAGAGGGGAAGGGGGTTATGGGCATAAGGGAGGGCACTTGTTGGGATGAGCACTGGGTGTTATATGGAAACCAACTTGACAATAAACTATTTAAGAAAAAAAAATCAATCATATTGTCTTAATGTCATGACTTTTCGAGAAACTGTATAGGTACCAAGAAAAAGCTAGACAATATATTTAAAAGTAAACTATATACATTAAGTGTGAAAAGTGAAAGCTAAAAGAAGAAAATGTAGGTAACAGCTAGTAGAATAAAGCCTTTGAGGTCTTGGCTTAGAGAGTCAGTGCTTTGGAAGAAGATTTGAAAAAAAAACACCCAGAAGCATATGGAGGTTGAGAATTGATAAGTTGTATTACATTAATGTTAATTAAATGTTATAGGGACATCCTGGTTAAAGTTAGCAGACAAGTGAAGTGACAGGCTAACAGAAGATATTCTCAATGTCTAAAACTTACAAGATTTCATTTTTAAAATATGTGAGAGATTTCTGCAAATCTTCTAGTAAAAGACAGTCAATCCAATAGAGATAAAGAGATAAAAGACATAAATAGGTACATTAAAGAAGGGAAAATGCAGGTAGTTAAAGTGTGTGTATGTGTGTGTGTATATATGTGTGTGTATATATAAATGTGTGTGTGTGTGTGTGTGTGTATGAAGAAATTTCCTAGCTCTTAATAGAAATTTAAAATGTCATGACTTACTCTTCCATGACCATCAAACCTGGAGAGTTTGAAAATACAGCCAATGCTTTAGACAAGGATATATGGGGAAGCAAGGATCCTTACCTGAGGTTGGAAGAATAAACTGGCACAAACATTCTGGAAAGCAATCCAGATATACTAATCTCCATCAATCAACCATTGCTACATTGTAATCCACTTCAAAACCTGGGGACCTTCAACAACAGACATTTATTCTTTATGTGATGGAGTGTCTGCTGGAGCGGCTCTGCTGATCTCCACTGGGTTCTTGTGAGTCTGCTAGTGAGTCAAATTACCGGGCGGGCTGTCTGAAGCTGAGGATTCTCTAGTCTCGGTTCTCAATATGGGTTGAGCTGAGTTCTTCCCCAAATTTCTTTCATCTTTCTTGGACCATCAGGCTAGCTGGGGCTTGTTTTCATCATGGCCATAGTAGAGGCACAAAAGGGCAAGTGGAAGCTTTTAAGGAGTCTTCATGCCTAGGTTTGAACTAGAACTAGCACATTGTCACTTCTGCCCACAGTCTCCTGACCAAGGCAAGCATATAGTACTAGGTGCATTCCACTTTAGGTGGGAGGAACTGTTAAGTTGTAAGAAAGTGAGTGTGGATACAGGGAGGAGAAAAGAATTCGGGCCTATGGGCCAAAAATTCCATTTACCACAGTGCCTTATGACTTAGCTGCCCTGTTTCTTGATGTATATTTCAGAGAAACTCCCTCCACATGTCTACAAGGAAATAAGTATAAAAAAACAAAAAACTTTGCAACACTGTTTAAGATAGTAAAGGTGAGCGTCTTAGGAAACCCTCACTGAAGAAGGAGTGAATAAGTAAAATATGTCATGCACCTTCAAAGGAATATAATACAACAGTCAGAAGTAATTAATTAGATTTAAATATAGCAGCGTGGACCGATCTCAGTACCTTAATGTTGACTTTAAAAAGCAATAAATAGTATGAAAGTGGTATAATATCAGTTATGTAACCTCCATCCACATAATAACACTATATATTTTATTTTAAAACTTTATTTATTTATTTTGGGAGAAAGAGTGGGAGAGGGACAGAGAGAGAGAGAGAGAGAGAGAGAGTGAATCCCAGGCAGGCATCGCTCCATCAGCACAGAGCCCAGAGTGGGGCTCAAACTCATAAACTGCGAGATCGTGACCTGAGCTGAGATCAAGAGTTGGACGCCTAACTGACTGAGCCACCCAAGTACCCCAACACTGTATATTTTAAAGGTACACATATATCTGTTAAAGGACATGTGTTAAATAAATAAGACTGTGTACCAAAGAGAAAGCAAGGAATAGAATTGACTATGGGGAATTAAGGCAGAAGAAAAAAAACAGCAAAATAAAACAAAAATAGGGGTTTTGCAGTCAATTTTGTGAGAATTTAATCCAATCGATTTTGTGCCCCCTGTGATTTTTAAACATAAAGAATTTTGTAACAAAAGACCCTAAAGGAGAGACTAAAATGAGCATAGCACATTTGGAATATTCATAAAGAAAAAAAGTTTTAAGCAGAGTTCTGGAGTTACAGAAGTTTTGGTTTGAGAAAGGACGTTCTAGCGAGGAACGTGTCATGGTCAAGGCCGGAACAGGAGGTAGATGTGTGAAAATTGTGTGAGGCTTCTTCTGGCAGAAACTTAATGAAAGCTTGACAGGGTGTAACAATAGATGAAAGCATAAGGCAGAGTTTCTTGTAATCTGCCATTGGGACTTTTGTTTTGATCTTTTCATAGGTTTGGAGGTCTTTGAAAGCACCTGGAAACAATTAAGTGGAGCCTGATAAAAATGAGCCCTTTGGAAGAGAAGTCTCGAACACTTGTATGCTGTTCCACTGTCCTTCAGAAATCATAGCTGTCAGAGGTTCTACGACACTTTTTTGTTCTGAGACACTGATAATAAGAGAAATCTTCCAAGAGTATTAGGAATTATTCTCCCGCTGGCATATAAAATAACAACTAACCAACCACCACCACAACAAAAACAGAGCAAAACAAAACCTTTGCTGGTGTTGCAGGGAACAATAATCTGCTGTTCAGCCTACATGAGGAGAAATATCGAGGGGCAGGGACTGGAAATAGACCCTGCATGGCTCTCTATTTTATCATCTCAGATTCACCTAGCATCGCATCTAAAATTATTAACACCTTTTCTTTACAGCAAAACCTTCCTCAATTAGAAACATATTTTGGTTTAAAAACAAAGTGTACTTTTAGTCACTGTTTACTAGACTGTAAATTGGCAGGGAAAATTATGAAGGGTAATTTGACGATTTACATTGTTTTATTTATTTATTTATTTTTTAAATGTTTTATTCATTTCTAGGAGAGAGAGAGAGAGACAGCGTGAGCAGGGGAGGGTCAGAGAGAGAGGGAGTGACAGACTGAAACAGGCTCCAGGCTCTGAGCTGGCAGTCAGCACAGAGCCCGACGCGGGGCTCGAACCCACGAACCGCGAGATCATGACCTAAGCGAAAGTCGGACGCTTAACCGACTAAGCCACCCAGGCGCCCCGATTTACGTTGTTTTAAAACGTCAATATTTTTTAACTCAATAATTTAGCCCTCAAGAATTTTCTAATTCTGATTTCTAAAGAAATAATTACATATAAACAAAAACATTTATGCATAAAAATTAGTCATAATATGATTATAATAGCAAAAAATGAAAACTAGCTAAATGAACAAGAACAAAGTTTAAAGGAATTAGACACTTTTGTTTGATGGAATGGTACTGAGTCATGAAAAAATATCTTTAAAAATAGTAACATGGAAGAAACACTCCAAATATATTGGCATGTGAAAAAGCAAGATATAAGTATATTCCCAAATTGAGAAAAAAATATACTACAATATTTACAGTGTTTATCTCTGAATATGAGACCATATACAAAATAATTTCTTGTTTCTTTTCCAAATTCTCTTAAGCAATTATTTGCTACCCTTATAAGACAAAATAAAGAATACATATTATTTATAAAATCGTACTGGATGAATAAATAAGTTAAACATTGTTGAACCTGATAATTTAAATACTTCAAAATCATTCTCTTTTTAAAAATCTATGTTTGAGTTCCTCTAAGAAATCCTTAAGAATGGACAGTCTAGATATACATCCAGCCATATTTTGGAAATTTTCCAGGTACATATGCTACCTGGATACAGAGGATTTGAAAGGAAGTGGCCAAATTAGAAGTAAATTTTACATCCTCAAAGAACTGAAGAAAATTGAAAAGGCAACAAAAGCTATGCTTTTGCAAAGCATAGTCAAGTACCTTTTTCAAAAGGATATTTATTCTAGTTCTCACACCAGGCCTCTGGATGGATTCATATTCTAATTCACTGCCCACAGTATCCAGGGCACTTCTTAAGCACCAGGCGTGTGTTGTGGTGTTTTTAATAATAGATAGCAAAATGAAGAATAAGCTCGCACCGGAAATTAACAGGGGAATTTAAAGAAATAAATAAAAGCTATGAAGGTGATGACCATAACCTATTAAATGTTGGTCACCTCCTGTTTTCTTATCTTTCCCCCAAGTTTCTTTTTTTTTATTAACAAAGTATCCCCAACAACAGTTAATAGTACATTCAGCCATGTAACCACCTGCAGAATTTCTGATTAGCAGGGATCAGGGGACATTTTCGTTTGCAGGAACCAATCCTTTTATCTTCAAAATAGAAAAATGAGCCACAAAGTATGAGAGACCACAAACAGAGAGTGTTTTTCTTGCTGAAATGATAAGTAACAGCAGTCATCTACTGTGATGTCATCAGATAGGACTGTAAGGCTCAAAACCGCAGTTGGATCATTAAGGTGCTCACAAAGAAGTGAATTGCAATGCTGCCTATTCTTTTCCTTGCATTCAGTGTTTCCAAGGCCAAATGTGTACGTCCCTGGGTTCCTCAGAGTATCCAAAAGGGAAAGAATTTAGTCTCGTAGTTTGCTGCATCAACACTATATTCCAAATGCTTCCAAGACTGAGAACATGGCCTGTTCCCTTCTTAGGAAGTTTGCTTCAAAAGTGATCTCACATCAAAGTACCAACTGATCCAATCTGACAGATACTCCCTATTCCCAAACTAAAGGAAGGAGGTCTCTCCTCGCTCTTAGTTGGAAACTACTAGCTAGAAACCACATGAGGGTGATTAACTTGCTTCATATCTGTCAGAAGAAACTAAAAATAAAGTCATTCCTTATGATGGGAATATTTGAGTCGCATTTTCACACAACTTTCCCAAATTGCAAGACTTGCAGAAGTAACACCTACTCATTTACCAAGGACTCAGAGGCCTGGAATGCACAGTGACCCATTCAAAGTGGAAGCAGACATTTAGGCTGGTGTTTCAAGTAAGTACCAATTCAGACTAGAAGACATAAAATATTACATCATAGAAGCCATAAAAAGATCATATGGAAACTTAATAAATACAAAGTGGGTCAGGATTGACTCGGAGGTGTAAAAACTGAGAGTCAGCCATGATGTCTGAAATTTGTTTTTCTTTTTTAGTAAATGGGAGTGGAATCATTATGTTTGGGAGAGTACAGCTAATATCCTCTGAAATGCCATCTTCATTTTTTCCTCAACGTTGCCTTGGCATATGTTTAGCTTTTCTTATAGAGTTAAGTTTGAAGATCATCCAGTGTAGAAAAGCTGAAATGGATTAAGTTTTGACAAATAAGCAACTGGAGGAGGAAGAGAAGAATTGCCCTGAATAAGAAAAATAAGCAAAGACACAGGGGATAGAACAGGATCTGTTTTCTATTTGTAGTGGAAACAGATAAAGAAAAAAGAATTTAACTGGCAATCAGAAGGTTTAATTTAGATATCTTGAAGATTTTACAGGTTTGCTAGCTACTAATAATTGCTACTTTTTACTAAGAGATAAATTCTTTAGATGCATGATAGGTATGAAGTTTGGCATCACAATTCAGTGTGCGGAATATCTGATTTTCTTTATTGCTATAATTGTCAGATCTCTGATCTGAGCTCCAGCTTGCCTCATTTAGGTAAAGTCATTTCGGATTTTTTTTTCCTTTTTTTAATATGGTGATTTTTTGGTCTGTTCATACCTAGAGGCTCAGAAACCCTATAGTTCAATCTTCCTTCTAGGTTTTCTCTCTCTCTGGTCACCCAAAAGCTTACAGAGACAAGACCGGGTGCAGACTGTCATGCTCTGCACCCTTCCTCTGGTCCAAACAACTCCCCCTGTCCCCAGGGGCTGGCTTTGTCTTCAGCTTCCCAGGATTTCTCCCTGTCCTTCACTGAGCTTTCTACCTCACAGCATAGCGGCAGTGTCCCCTGATTCAGGAAACTGAACTGAAACACTCATCTGGTCCTGGAACATTTGCTGAACTGTTCTGAATTCATGCATTTAATTTTCATTCAAATCGCATCCATTCTTCAGGGCCCCCAATATTTCTTCCTGATCCCCTCATCAGAGGGACTTTTCTTTTTTGAATTCACAGTGTGCCCCTCTCCTATGGCCTCTGTCACCTTCTATTGGCACAAACGTTCAGCTGGCAAACACGAGTAGGTAGAGCCCTTGTTAACTGCTGGCCTCTGTGCGACTGGGAGGATGTCTGTTCGGATCGACTCTTGGCTGTGTCCTGCTGGTTTTTGTTTTGCTTCGTTTTTGCATTTTTAATTCCACCCCGGCCTTCTGCCCTGGGTTATAATACATTATATCTTTGCTTCTCTTTCCTACCATAAACTCCTTGAGGAAATAAATGTTTCAGTTTGGTAGTTCATTCAGTGTCTTGCACATAGTAGGCAATCAAAAATATTTATTAAATGAATCCTGAGCTAAAACTAGACTAGGCCACACAATTTTCTTTGGTGTAAGGATGAAAAAGCCAGAGGCATCCTTCATCGTTGGCATATAAATGCAGTTTACTTGCCAGCATTACTGTCTTCTGCCTACTCCCTAATGCCTACTCAAAGTCTCATAATTTTTAATTTGAGAAAAGAACCAGTGGGATACTTTGGTTTTAATTTGTGGAGAAAAAAATAAAATAAAATTATTCAAACTTTGTTCTTCTACCACTGACAGTTAATAATATCTACTGTCATCACACTGAGCATTTTTAAAAGGTATTTGAGAAATTTATCTTTTCCCTGATTTAACATTACATTTTAATTTCAATTCCCTCTCAGGAGGATTAAAACTCAGCAGCACTTTGTCACTTTTGTGACATTACTTTGAGATAAAAACAGAAATAGTAAATACAGCTTAAGAATACTTGCAGTGCCCAAGGACCAGATCCTGAGACTTTCATAAAGTCCCAGATTATTATACAGCATCGTTGTACAAAGACTTGGTTTTATTTTCAGAACTATTAAGTGAAAATACAAGAAAATAAAATAAGCCCCTCCCACCCTATTGTAGATACTGAAAGACAGTTTTTTTAACTTTATTTTTTAAAATTTATTTCTGAGAGAGAGAGACAGCATGAACAGGGGAGGGCCAGAGAGAGAGGGAGACACAGAATCCGAAACAGGCTCCAGGCTCTGAGCTGGCTGTCAGCACAGAGCCCGACCTGGGCTTGATCCCACAAACCGCGAGATCATGACCTGAGGCAAAGTCAGACACTTAACCGACTGAGCCACCCAGGTGCCCCTTAACTTTAGAACACTTACTTTGTGAGAATAGAAAACAGCACAAAAGTGTGGAGATGTAGATGTTGGTTGGAGGGTTTACCCACCTCCTATCTAAGAGACTGGTTTCTAGAATACAGATTCCATTTCCTGTCTTCACAGAGTTACGGATGAATACGTGAGGTACCTGCGAAATCATTTGCAAATTGCTGAAACTATGAATGTTAAATCTACCAATGCCGGAGGCCTGCTGTTCAGGCCGTCATCACCTTAGCACTAACTTGGGAGTCCTCCATGTTTATATGGTTGTAACTCCTACCACCA